ATTCACATTCCATTTAACCAATGCAGTTTACTACTACTCCAGCCCTACACATTCTAAAAATAGTTGCAATAACTCAAATGCTAGAAAAAAAAAAACAATTCCACTCATTGCATTGCCGTTCTAACTTATGCCTGTGCTGAGCTAAAGAGAGAGAGAGAGAGACAGACTTAGAGCGCTGGTAAGTGCTATAATTTCATTTACAATTAACTCTCCATTAGGACAATGCTCTTTCCAGCCATTCCATTATCTAAATATAGCTGCATTACCCCTTCCAGCTGCTTGGAATGGCAACGATCAATTCCACTCACTGCATTGTTGTGAATGGAGAGACAGATAAAAAGAGAGTGAGAGTGAGTTCATTAATCCAATTTTTGCATGTTTGCCGGACTAAGTATATCTCTGCTTCCGCATTTGCAGTGGACATCGTTAGTGTGCGCTTCCACTCCTCCCACGACCAGCCAGCAGCTGCCTGGCCGAACGAAAGTGAGAGTGTGTCGTCGACTTTGTCATTGTTGTTGTTGTTGTTGTTTCTGTTGTCCGTTCAATCATTGCAAGTTTTATGCAATCTGACTTTTGAGTGTTTTTGCAGGCTGTGTGCGTGCGTGTGTTGTTGATCTCTTTTTATAAAGCCATTGTGTTAGGCTATATGTATGTGTGTGCGTGCCATATATCAAAAACATAACGGTTTGTGTCAGGCATTTGCTATATTCATAAATTCTTTCAATTTACATAATGAAAGTGCAATGACTCTTGCAAAATACGTAAACTGACAAGCTTAATCTTTGTTTTTGTCTTTATTTATTTTTTTCTTTAAGATTCCCTTTATTTATCTTTATTAATTGTTTGTTGACCTTGCATTTGCGATTACGGTGTACACACCCAGAATTGCGATTGCACGCGATTTACACATTTGAATGCACGTAATCAAGATTTACTAACATGTGCATGGGTCATACATATATAAATATATTTGTTGTATAATATGTTTTTGTTTTGACTTTGTTGCATTTTCGCTGGTAAACAAAACCGGTCAGGGCTAGTTAGCCGGTCAAAAGCTGTCAAACGAGTTAATGTTGTCAAAAGCCATTGATTACTAATAGTGAAAGTTAAATGCTTAAACGTAACTACAGCTTATCTCTTTGATCAGTAATTCGAGTGCATTGCAAGCATATCGACCAAACTAATTGCACTCAAATTTTATACATGTATAAATTTAAAACATGCGCTAAGCCGTAAAAATTGCGATTGGTCACACTAAACAGCATAAATACATAACATGTGTGCTCCTCTGTTAAACAATAAAGCTCCACACAAAATGGTCATACTCTGAATAACATTTTCATTTGAGTAAAAGTTATCGCCTTTGAATCGATAACTCAAAGGCTTTTGTAGCACATTTTAGTTGTAATTGAAATTTATAAGAAAAATGTGTACAGAGACGAGCAAATTGTTGCTAAAAAACATGCCCTGTAGCATGAGCGAATTTTCGCAACTAATACAGGAACTAAAACTGATTATACCGCGGTCACTCAACGCTTTTGGTCGCAAGCGGGCACTGATTGAATATGCCGACGTCGAAGAGGCACAGAACGCCCTGAAACAGCTGTTGGGGCTCAGCGAAATACTGGACAAGCCGCTTCGCGTCAGCAACTTTGGACCGCGTGCCAATGCCGCCGACGGCACCAAGCCGAAAACCGCCAGCAAATCAACGCAGGCGACAACGCCGGCCCAACTGCAGCAGGACTCCACTTCGAATGCCGAAATCAACAAGTATGTGCAAAAGTTGTATGCCTGCAATAATCAATTTGACTTTATGCAGCCGCCACCGCCATATCTACGCTACGCCTATCCGCCCATCAATGCCGAAATTCTTAGTGCCATCGGTGAGACACTGAAGAGCGATAAGCGCTTCTATGTGCAAGTGCTGCACTTAATGAATCGCATGAATTTACCGCCGCCATTTGGTGAGCGACCCAAGGGCATTATATTGCCGCCCAAGCAGTCGGAAGACGTCGCGATTCAAACCGAGACGATTGAGAGTGAAACGGAGAGCGAGCTGGAGAGTGACAAGGAACAGGAGCACAATCAAGCTAATCAGCAGCCGAAGCTAAGAGGAAAGAGACCTGCTGATAGTTCAGTATTGGAGCAATATCGTAAGCGTGCACGGCAAGCGCTGCAATTGGAGAAGACGGCGGCAGTCAAAACGAAGAGAGAAGAAGAGAATGCTAATGTGCCCATCGCTCCACTCCTACGTAAAATAGAGCTGAAACTGCCGACAGTGCTGCCCGTTGCCGCTCAGCTGCCTGAGGAGCGTTTGTCTGCTGAGCAGCTGCAAGAGCTGCCCGTCTACAAGAACTACAAAGTGGGCGAGCCGAGCAATAAGCTGTACATCAAGAATCTCGACAAGAGCATCACAGAGTCGCAGCTGAGCGCTCTCTATGCACGCTATGCGCCGGCCGAGAGTCTGGACATCAAGGTCATGCAACAGGGTCGCATGAAGGGACAAGCATTCGTCACATTTAAGCAGCTGGATTCGGATGGGGCGTCGGCAGAGGCACTGGCGGCGGTGGTGGCCAAGGCATTAAGTGAAACGAATGGTCTGCTCTGGCAGCAGAAGCCCATGATCGTGTGCTATGGAAAGCAGCAGGTGCAGCAGCAACAGCTGTAGAAAAAGCAACAAACTTGATTGAATTGCATTCCAAAGAGTGATTAGAAATTTAAATTGGCTGTTATATTTAGTTAGTTTACATATTAAATATTCGTAAATTATATAAAGCTGTGAAAGACTGATGAAATATTGTTGTTTAAATATATTTATAAATATTTGCATATTAAAATGAAATGTAAATATTAATGAAATGAAATGTTTGTTAAATATACTCTCAAAGTTCTCAATGTAGAGCGAAGTAACGTCAAAGTAATCTAAAAGAAATATCTATAGTCTTAAATGTACTTGGTATATTTACTATTATTAATTTAATTCAATGTCTAATGAAGTAGAGCGCAAAGCGAGGTGCGTTCTAAAAGTTCTCAATGTCGAGCGTAATTTGTTGATTTCTAATTTGTAATCGCAGTAGCAGCTTCATTGGCTTTGTACGAGAGTCGAGCAGGATTTGTTTGTGGAATGTCAGTACTAGACTGTAACTACAAGTTGCCAAGATTCCACATAATATTTCCTATATATTTTTCTAAAAAAAATACATAATAAAAAATTGCAAAAAAAAAAAAAAAACAAAAACAATAAAAGAAAGACAGAAATCAGTAAACATTTACAGATATATTAAGCTAACGTTTTTCTCTCCCTCATCCCCTACTTCTATCCACTTTGGTTTGGCTACGGCAGACAACTGGGCCTGATCGACACGTTGTATGTGGAGGGCGGACGACCAGATCCAGCCAACGCCTTGGATGAACTGCAGAACGAAGCCGATATCAGCATCAACGGAATCGCCGGAGACACTGGATCGGCAGCCACAACAGCCACAGCCTCGGCCGGAGTCAAGACAAAAAAATCACGCAAATCGAAACAGTTGGCGATGCAGCCATTCAGCCATGTGATTGCCGTTGATTTTGAGGCCACGTGTTGGGAGAAACAGGCGCCGCCACAGTGGCGCGAAGCCGAGATTATAGGTGAGTGGTACCAGCTGATCTATCTAACAAGCGATCCCATGCTAATTGTTAGTTCTCTCGCAGAGTTTCCAGCGGTGCTCGTCAATTTGAAGACGGGCAAGATTGAGTCGGAGTTCCACAAGTATGTCATGCCAATTGAGTCGCCACGTCTGAGCACCTACTGCACGGAGCTGACGGGCATCGAGCAGAAGACTGTGGACACGGGCGTGCCGCTGCAGACGGCGCTGATGATGTTCCACGAGTGGCTGCGCAAGGAGCTGCGCTCCCGGAATCTGATACTGCCCAAGACGAGCAAATCAAATCTGCTGGGCAACTGCGCCTTTGTCACCTGGACGGACTGGGACTTTGGCATCTGCCTGCACAAGGAGTGCACGCGCAAGCGCATGCGCAAGGCGCCCTATTTCAATCAGTGGGTCGATGTGCGCGCCATTTACCGGGAGTGGTACAAGTACCGGCCGTGCAACTTCAGTGATGCCCTCTCGCACGTGGGCCTGGCGTTCGAGGGACGTGCGCATTCTGGCATCGATGATGCCAAGAATCTGGGCGCACTCATGTACAAAATGGTCAGAGATGGTGCACTCTTCTCCATCACCAAGGATCTGACGCCATATCAGTCGCTGAATCCCAATTGTATATTGTGAGCCAGCGATCGAGCGAGAACTCCCTCCAAGCGATATCCAATGAAAACAAAAACAGAAAGAAAAGATACAAAAACAAATTGCACTTAGTTACTGACTTTTAATAAACAATTAATATTACGTAGCTGGCGATGATAGATCGACAGTTCATAATGTGAGAATAGCCTGCAAAATATTCGTGTGCGTGTGGCAAATTCCGAGATGAGTTCTGCAGAGGCAATTGATAAGACTTGAAAATTCGACGAATTGTTTCAAATGATGCTGCATCGCCCCACGTCCTCCCTCTCCCTCCCCTCTCTCTCTCTCTCTCTCTCTCTCTCCGTGTGTATGAGGTGTGGGGGTAATGCAGCATTTAATATATTTATATATATACACATACATATGGCCATAGAGCGTATTTTTCTACTATTCATATTTAATAATGCATAGTTAATAATAGTGTCTATACTGCGTATATGGAATATCATACTTATGTTCATCGCCCAAACACGGCCTACAACATTTAGCTTTAAGCAGCATTACTAATAAAACGACAATAGATATATTCAGAAAAGATCAACTAGAAACTATAACTGTATATTTGATTTACCTTTGAGTGTGATGGGTATAAATTGGGATACGTAGAGGCGATGAAATGGAACAGAACTTAGTGGGATGAGCTTTTAAGGATGGAGAGTCGAAGAGGGGACTTTTCCTATCCGCTTCATATATTCAAATGTTAAATGTTTAATATTAAACACAATTTATTGAACTGCCGTACATCCAACTCGGAGATGAAATGAACTGATGATAAAGATATATGCAAAATACGAAGTCTATATATTTAGGAACTGAGCTCGGCGACCCTAGGCGCTAGGGTCGCTTCTTGAAAGCCAGCTGAATGACTGCCTTTTCGCCCGTGCACATCCATTTGGGATTGTCGAGCATGAGCAAGTCAACCAGGCAGTTGGGCATGCCGCAGTAGAGATCCGATTTGATGCAGCGCAGCGCACAGAGGCTGGTGGGCAGGAAGCCGCCAAGACAGTCGGGGAATGGAGTCGTGGAGTTCCAGTTGATGTCGTCCAGCAGCTTGCGATAGTTGAGATCCCCCTTGAAGATGGCCAGAGCACTGAAGCTCAGCTGGACGTACAGGCAGGGCGCCAATTGGCGCATGCAACGGAAGCCCTCCGGGCGGGTCCAGAACTTGCAGGTCTCGTAGAGCGCGAAGATGTCGTGTTTCATGAAATAGCGCAGCTTGCGGCCCAGGTGGGCAAACTCGGGGATCTCGCTGTTCAGCAAGAAATTTAGCATCCAGTTGAAATCGTTGGCCGTCACGTCCGATACATAATACGGAATGGCCTTCACATGGTAGCGCACCCTCACCGCAAGCCTCGTATCGATCAGGTAGGCGCCCAGCAGGAGATCGGCGAAGAGCTCGAAGCCAGCATTGTCCAGGATGATGTCGACCATGGCAGGCGTGACGGAGGAGTGGAGATCCCGGGTTAGCAAGCGATAAACCTCAATCGACTGATCCACCAGCAAGTGCTTGTTGTACTGCTTGAGGGTGTGCAGAATTTGGTCCGAGGGACTGTCGCTGGTGATGGAGAGGTCACAGCGATTGGCCCACAGCGACAGCTTCAGCATCGTCACAAAATCCTTGCGGCTGCGCTTCAGCTTACTCACGCCCTTCAGGACGGCGCGAAACAGATAGACAAGGTTGCGGGCGGAGCAGATCTTCTTCTGGCCAAAGTAGTCGAAGTCCTTGAGTAGCTCCGAGCGCTGGAAGGCCCTCCAGATGCGACGGTACAGGTAGCACTCGGCGTGCAGCCATTGGGCCGAAAACCATTGATTCCTCTCGCGATTCGTCAGGTGCTTGATGAAGCTGTTCCACTCCAGGGAGTCGGGCGTTTTGTCATAGAAGTACTTGAACGGCTTGTTCTCCAGCACCTCGTTGCGCAAGATATTCAGGCTCCAGATGATGCGACGCAGCTCGAAGTGCGCATACGAGCCATACTTCTCGATAATCCGATCCTCCTGCTTTTGCAGCGAGTCGATCAGATCCAACAGGATTTTGGGCACGCGTTCCTTGAATGTGGCATAGGCGAAGCTGTGCTTATATTTCGCCGACAGCGGCTCACGCAGCGGCGCCGGCAGCTCCGATATATTGTTCGCTTCGTCAAAACTGCTGGCGTAGCTCGGTATTGTTGCCTTGCTGTGGGCCGTGGACAAGGACTCGCCCGAAAGGGAATCGGCAATTGTAATTGACACATCGTCCAGCATTATCTCAGCTCAGCTTTAGACATGGGTCTTTCTTTTTATATTCTTTTTTTTTTAGTCTAACACAATTTTGACAAAGTTTTCCAAAATGAATTTGGAATTTAGAAATATATTTAACTACAACTATATAAATATATTATTTATGTTTCTAAACGTGGGCTTTAAGCCCCATTAGGCTCTTCTTCTTTTTCAAACATATCCATTTGCCTCAGAACTAGAGAACATTCATTTTAATTTTAATTTCGTGAAACGTAACTATTTAACAATTTTAAATATTTTTTATAGACTTTTTTTTTGCCTTTGTTTTTTTTAGTCAGACAAAAAAAATAAAATTCATTTCGTCCAACATTTAGTGCTCAGTCATATATGATATATTATATATAAATATATACATACACATATTTTCATATATATCTATTTCATATTCCTCTAAACCAAATGTTAGCAAATGCTGAACATTTCTTCATCAAATTATAAGAAACTTGTTTATCAATTAGCACTTGACTATTTTTAAGATATGGTCACAAAAAATTAATGTAAATGTTTTTGTTTTAATTCAAGAGAAAATGAGTATTTATATTGTACTATTGGAGGAAACACAGGCATGCAGATATATTGGAACATTATTGTACTTAAAATTACATACTTTAAAGTTTACACATTGTTTACAAGCCAAGAATTGAGTTGAACAAAAATAATTAACATTAAGGAATTGATTGTTTGTAATTTGTAATTTGATTAAAATAATTTAGCATTTGATAAACATTCAAAACACGAATTGAATAATTTAGCTACGCCTATGCCTAACGCAACATTTGAGCTATTGCCATGGATAACTGAGTCCTGTTCACTTGCTGGCAAACTGAATGAGTCCATATTCGCCCGTGAGCATCCATTCCTTGTTCTTGGCAAACAATTGCTCGGATATGCCAGCGGGTAGTCCACAAACCAAGTCCGCTTTGATGGTGCGCAGTGTGCAAAGGTTTGAGGGTTTGAAGCCTGCAGAAGCGAAGATCAATTCGAAATTCATATTTCATTCCACTCAAAGTTCACTTACCGCGCAAACAGGTAACGAAGGATTCGGTGTCGTGCCAGCTGTAGTCGCCCAGCAGCTTGCGATAGTTGAGATCGCCCTTGAATATGATCAGTTGCGCCTTCGAGAGTCGTTCGTGCAGCGCCGGCTGCACTTCGGCCATGCGATAGAACTCATAGGGACTGGTCCAAAAGTGCTCCAGCGGTGCCAGCTCGAATTTGCCCTCGTCGACGAAACGTTTCAGCTTCTTGCCCAGTTCGCTGAGCACAGGCGACGCCTGGCCGCTGAGGAACTGCAGAATCCAGTGGAAGTCTTCGGCCCGCACATCCGATATGAACCAGGGAATGGCCTTGGCATTGAAGCGCACCTTTTGCGCCAATCCCTTGTCGATGATATACTCGGCCAGTATGAGATCTGTGTAGAGCTCATAGCCGGCATTATCGAAGACAATCTCCACAGTGCCATTGCCGTCGGCGCTGTCCAGAGATTGCCAAATGGCCTGGGTGCCATCCACCAGCAAATTGCTATCCAGCTCGGCAACTTGATCGAAAGCATCTCCCGTTGGCTTCACCTGTTTGCCAGACGTAATCGACAGATCACAGCGATTGCCCCACAGGTTCAGCTTCACCAACTGCTGAAACGTGCTCAAATTGCGTTCACTGCGTCGCGTGGCATTCGCAACGGCCACCATCGCATCCAGGCTGAGCTGTGCTGCCGTTTGCTTCTGTTTGCGAAAGTAATCGAAGCCGGCGAGGCGCGATAAGCTGAATATAGACCACAATTTGCGATACATATAGCACTCTGCATAGAGCCAACAGGCGCTGAAGTAAGTGCGCTTATCCTTGTCCAACTTCTCCAGAAATGCATTCCATGTGGCAACATCGGCCTCTGAAAGGGAAGGGAGTTTTTATGAGTATATAATATTTCTATTTTATAGATTAACTTGATTATAAATGAAATTATATGCAGTCTTCACAAAGAACAGATATATATATATATAAATGTATTTATAAAACTATAATTATAGCTGTTGACAAAATGGAGCATTTTCCAGAAAGAACTTTCTAAAGATGAAGTTAAATATAAATGAAACTATATAAGAACTGTTGTGGGAGATCAATGAATGTATATGTCTATAAATATAATTATAGATTGTGACGAAGAAATGGAGCATGTTCTAGAAATAGCTCTTCAGAAAGCATGCCCTCTTGATTAATAAGTATTTATACAGACTTTCTTATAGACTTAAATATCTATGTATTACACCTATTTATCAATTAAATGATTGATTGCCTTCTCTTTATACTACACAAACTTATCGCTAGACTTACAAGCCTTGTGCTCATTACATTATCATAAGAAAAGAAATGGTATATGTATATATACATTTTCCTCAATTAATTCTTAAGCTCATGGTCTGCTCTTCCATACCTGTATCATTAAATGGCTCCAACGGCCCATTTTTCAGAATATTCGAACGTAGCTCAAGCACAGCTGCAGCTGTTTGATCAATATCTGAAGCTGCATCCTATAAAAAATCAAAGTTGTTTATTTGGGAATTACGTAATCTAACGCTAACTCACGACTCCATATGTGGGCAGCAGCTCATCCTTGTTTGCCAGGGAATTGGCAATCGTAGCCAGCGTTGATGGAAGACGCACGCGGAACGTGTAATAGGCGAAGCTCCTACAAGAGAGGGTCGCATTTAGAGGTCAGCAAATCAAATTACATCAGTGCTCCTCCATACATGCATATCATATATGCATGCATACATATGTATATACATATAGGTATGCATTCTACATACATATATATGCATATAATCATATGCGTATGGGAAATTTCGATATGCTATATATAGCGTTTACTTACCGCTTGTATTGGGCGGCTAGATCTGTGTGTGGAGGTGTTTCACTATCAATAATTCCATTCGCAGCATCGAAGTCAGCATTGTCTTCCACTAAGGCCATATTTATTGTTTGCTGCGTGCAAGTCCCAATCAACAATAATGTAACTGCTACAAAGTACAACGTATTTATTTGTGTTGGCGCCTTGAATGTAGACAACAGGAATGCAAGTTACTTTGGAAGTCAATCGCCAGAGATGGTTTAGACTCGATAGTTTTTATCGATAGCATTAAAATTCAAATTTATTAAAGATAGATGATTCAGTTCATGGAATAAAATATCGTAAATGTGTCTCCTTTATGTCTACAATGTTTCGAAGCAGCTGATAAACAGCTGATCATGCACTTAAAAAAATTATGCCCAACTTAACAACATTTGCATATTTGCCGCTCTGCTAAGCTTAAGACTGATTTCTTAATATTAATGTATGCTACCAAATTCCTGCATTGAAAGAAATTTGTGACTTTTTAGATGTAATTAGTGGTGTAACATAAATTAAAAACAGTTTGATATACAGGTTTTAATACAGAGATTAGTAGCCATATTCTCCAGTGCCAAGCACAAATTGTATGGTTCCGTAACTTCCAGAAACCATCCAATCGGAGTCAATCGATTGAAGTCTTTCATATGTGCCCTCCGGTAGACCGCATATTATTTCCGACTTGGCTGTGCGTATTGTGCAAAAACTATTGGGTACAACTGCGCCAGCGCAGGTTTTCATATCCTGTGTCGACTGCCAGCTAACATCGCTCAACAGCTTGCGATAGTTCACATCACCTTTAAAGATGATTAGCTTTGAGTGTGTCACTAATTTATATAGCTTTGGGTCCACTGTTTTCATGCTAAAAATATAAATCACATTAAGTTATGAAACCAAATAATGGGACTATGAGCTCACCAATGAAAGGCATGCGGGCCTGTCCAGAAAGTTGAAACGGGTGCCAGTTCAAATTTACCCTCATCCATAAATTGCAAAAACTTATTGCCAACCAGACTGAGGTTATAGTCGGAGTGTTTGCTCAGATATTGTAGCGTCATTTCAAAATCGCGTCGGGTTGTATTTGTAACAAACCAAGGGCAAGCCTTAGCATGGAATCGTACCTTGGCCGCGAATCCCTTTTCGATGATATATTCGGCTAAAATAAAGTCGGCGAAGAGCTCGTAGCCAACATCGGCCAACACAAAGTCGACGCATTGTTTTTTCGATCTACGGCTATTCAAACACTGCCAGATTTCAAAGGCATCGTTAATGAGAATATGGCTATCGGTTGCCGTCACATCCTCCAGCACATTCATGTTGAACGAGAGTCCATTTTCGTTTTTGGAGAGATCATTGCGGGTGCTCCACAGGTTAATTTTTAAAAGTTCATTAAATACGTCAAATGTATTCTCTGTGCGCCTTGTGTATTTGGCCAATATAACTATATCAGCCTGGCAGCTATCCAGTGTGTCCTGCTTGATCTTGGCAAAGTAATCGAACTGTTTCAGAAATATGCTGTTTTCCACGAAGGAGTAGAGCTTGCGGTACATATAGCACTCCGTATGCATCATGCATGCCTGATAGAACGAATTTGCTTTGGCTGGAAGATCTGCCATAAAGTTATTCCATGATTCACGATCGGGCTCTGCGAGCGGGGATACAAAAATGAGTTAGGCGATTCGATATAACGGTCGACAACTGTCATTTGAGAAAAACGAATACTTGCCATCGCCAGTAAAGTTTTGGAAGGGTTTGTCCGTTTGTAGCTCATACTTGAGCCGCGAAATAAGTCCAATGATGATCTTCAGCTCCTCACGCGCATTCTGCACAAATGTTGTGGGCGCTGTATATTATGATTAGGGAACAACAGCTTTAACTTAATACACACCTCACCAAATTGTGTGACTATTTCGTTCTTGTCCTTTGTAATTGAATCAATCACTTTCGTCAGCACAACGGGAAGGATATTGAGTAGAGAATAATAAGCGTAGCTGCGCTTATAGTGGGCGGACAAGAAATTATTTAGCGGAGTAGAGATATCGAGAATATTGTATTTGGCATCAAAATCCGACTTCAGCACTTTTGTAATATTTTGTTGGCCATCAGTTTTTTGATCTACCGCTCTATCTTTCAGGATGCACTCCTCCCCCGCGGGCTCCATCTTCGTCTAATTTAACTTAAAAATTTTGTGTTTTTAGGCTTTCATTTTTAATTTCCAAATTTGTCTTTAAGATATTGAAAGCCTACTTACATATTTTAAATTAAATGGAGATGATTATTGAACATTATATATTGTTTTATTTATATGCATGTCTCTGCGTTATGCAGTGTGACCAAACTATCAAAAGATGCGGAAAATATGCTGCTCAAGCAAAACACTGCTGATTTAAAAAAAAAAAAAAAACAAGATATAAAAATATTACTTCATTACATCTAAAACTAATTTTATTTATTCCTGTTTTATTTTATTCGTTTTAAATTTAAATTTAATTATTTTACGCTTATAGTAAATAATTCGATAAAAGACTTCAATTAATAATGGTATTATTTAGTGCAAAGTCGAATTTATTTGGTATTTTTTTACATACAGTAACTTGGTGCATTTTTGGCATATTTTCACTTCCGCGTTCCCTATTCTTCACTGCAGTTTTTATTTGGACATGGAACGCGACGCGAAGACTTCGAGATGTTTATCACGCGCAAATTAGTGATCAATTAGCGAAAAAAGAAAAATAATCCATGAAACGCCTATGACGACATAGTGTTAAAGTTAAATAGTCAACAACGCAACCAATTGTTGACTGTGTGTGCGGGGCATGCTGACTCAGCCACGGCGAACGACAAAGGCAGATATACGGGAACGAGATAAAGTCCGGCAGCGGGACTCATTTTAGCATTTGCTGCTACTCTGCCTCCCTCCACAAATGCGAAAGGCGTTAACAAGAGCAGCGGCACGTACAGATGTATACCAATTAAACCGCAGTGACATCTATCCACTACACGCACACACATACATAGACACAGACACATACTCGCACGCAGATTAGTTTACGCACACACGGGCCAGACAGCGCCTCCTACAACACCCAACACCACAAACACAAACACACAGACAAAGCCACACGCGCGTACACACACACAGACACACACAATGTCACATTCGCCACTGGCAGTGTATGGCTTCGCAGCATGTTTTATGATTTTTTGGTTCGGTACATGGTGCGTACATTTAATCGCGATCTGCTATGGCAAATACAAATTGCACAAGAAGTTGTGCAAGCTGCCCACAGAGTCCTCCCCGCTGCCGGGTGTTTCCATACTGAAGCCATTAATGGGCGTGGATCCGAATTTGCAACATAATCTGGAAACATTCTTCACCATGGACTATCCGCTGTACGAGCTATTGTTTTGTGTGGAGGACAAACACGATCCGGCCATCAAGCTGGTGGAGCAACTGATCGAAAAGTATCCCCAGATTGATGCCCAGCTCTTCGTGGGTGGCTCCAATGTGGGTGTCAATCCCAAAATCAACAATATCCATCCGGGCTACATGGCAGCCAAATATGACTTTGTCATGATCTCAGACAGCGGCATCAAAATGAAGAACGACACGCTGCTGGACATGGTGCAGAACATGTCCGAGCGACATGCGCTCGTCCATCAAATGCCGTTCACCAGCGACCGGGAAGGATTTGCGGCCACCTTCGAGAAGGTGTTCTTTGGCACGGTGCAGTCCAGGATTTACCTGTCGGCCGATGTGCTGGGCATCAATTGCCACACGGGCATGTCTTGTCTGCTGCGCAAGGCGGTCATCGATCAGCTGGGCGGACTGCGCACCTTCGGCTGTTACCTGGCCGAGGATTTCTTCATTGCCAAACGGGTCATGGAGCTCGGCTGGAAGATGCGCATCTCGAATCAGCCCGCGCTCCAAAACAGCGGCCTCTGCGACATAGCCAGCTTTCAGGTAAGCTATTCCGATGCTTATCATCACACAAATACATATATACTATATATATTATATATTATATAGCTTCTTAAAATTCTCTAGAAACACGCGAAGAGTTCGTTTATTGCTAACTTTGCCAATTATTACTCCCCATAAATTAGCTAAACATTTTCGCATTGCTATTTTAATTTATAATATACAAAAAACACTTGCGCTAAGGTAAATCCCATTCCAGTTCAGTTTCAGCATAGCTGAGCGAATTTAATAATTTAGAGCTGAACTTCTACCCAGGCAAAAATGCTATAAAGAAAAACACCTTTGTTTCCCATAAAAACTTCAGATTCGTCATATATTTGCTTTGCATATTAAAGATAAGGTCTTATATACCCTAACAAATCCCTGATCTAGTGTTGACTCACTCTATATTCGATATATATAAAATTTACATATATATATCTAATTCGTTCTATTTTTCTTGGCTATGGCTACTTTTAAATAATATAGTTTTCTTAAGTTATTTGCATAGACTTTGACTAATTTGGTTTACCGTTTACGGTAATATACTTAACTAATTGTATTTTAACTTTACGCTAATACAACATATAGAAATCTTATTTATCTATATAGTTTCTAATGCGAGATTAGATATAGATATGCACACATATATATACGATATTTACATACTCTTAATATGTCAATTTATATTGCTTATTCCTTTGATTAATGGATAAAACCCAATGTACAGACCTTAATTGCACGTCATACATAACTGAACAAACTGGAATCCATAAAAGTCTCATATATCATATATCAAGCGTAAGGCCGACGAACCTCTAATGTATCAAATATCACAAGAGTATATCAAAAGTCTATTCAGTTTGAAGTATACTCGAAAGGTCGAATATTGAAATAACTTTTGTATTTTCTTATTAGACGGTAAATTTGAGGTTTCCATTAAAAATAGAATTTGCATGGATTGTTCATGCTACAGTTATTTAATAAATGTTATTAGGCACTGCGAATATCGTAAATGTCTGATTATATCTAGCCTTCTACCAATATATCTCTATTCTGAATAACTACAATTTAGCTTCCTTATAAGCAATCCATTGAAATTAAAGTCTTGGTATTAGAAATGAATAAGTTTTCCATCTCTTTAGTTTTCAGCTTATCTATAAGTATTTCATTTTACTGTGCTCACTCTTAGACCTTTATCGCTCGATTCTGGTTAAYTATAATTCAGCTGATTAGGTCTGGTGCGACAAGTGCAATCATGGCCATTTAATCACGTATTATTTATTTAGCATTGTAATGTATCGATCTTATGTATGAATGCAGCGGGCGTTAACTTCTCTCTTCGAATTTCAGGCCCCCCGTTGGGCGCCATAAAATCTATGTAACGAGCGTACTCGAGTATGAAAGCGATCTTCGTGCATTCGCATGTTTACATATATACATATATACACATATATGTCACATACATGTATACATACATACATACATACATACATCAACATACACAAGACGTGGATCGGGTAGTGGCGGGCGGAATCCTCTGGTTCCCTTAGCTCTGTCGGCGGTGGGGTGGGTCTTGCCAAACCGTCACCAATACACACAAACTTTAAAATTTTTAGGATTCCTNTCTTTTGTGTATGTTTCTTTTTGTTAAATATATATATAAAGATAGATATATATATAATTATTAACAAAAATTTTAGGTGGATAGAACTCCACGCTGAGGGTATCTTCTTGAAAATGTGGGCCGGAAAAAGATGGAGCTGGCAATGTGGCCGCTTTTTATACGCCCACATTCCAGTGTTCTTAGTTTCGGCGTTTCGCTCTCAGCGAAGCTTCGGACAGCGGGATGCTAGTGAGCGTATTTCTCCCACTGTCTCCGACGAGCGAGCACAGCGTAAGCTTAGCGTAAGCTTAGCGAAAGCTCGATCGCTAAAGCTCCGCTCTCTGTCTCTCTMBTGCATTGCATTGCAGCGCAGGCGACAATGTTGTCGCAAACGATATGCGCTGCAATTTGCAATCTTAGAGATTGGCAACCATTACAGCATGTATTTATTAATGATTTTCGCGTTCTACAATGCCATTAATTGCCTAACTTGAAAATTTGTGTATAATAAATATGTTGTAATTTTTCCTTTTCTAGGCACGACTCATACGCTGGGCGAAGCTGCGCGTTGCCATGGTGCCAACGACAATTCTGCTGGAGCCGCTGTCCGAGTGCATGATCCTGGGTGCACTGGCCGCGTGGTCGGCGTCGCTGCTCTTCAAGTGGGATCCGCTGGGGTTTTACTTGGTGCACATTCTGTGCTGGCTTCTGTCCGACTGGCTGCTGTTGTCGATTGTGCAGCACGGCTCGATGCCGTTCGGCAAGTTCGAGTTTGTCATCGGCTGGCTGTTCCGCGAGCTGACCGGGCCGTATCTCTTTCTGCACGCCCTGTGGAATCCGGCCATACGTTGGCGGACGCGCACCTTTAAGCTGCACTGGGGTGGCATTGCCTACGAATTGCCGCTCAATTCACCCGCAACGGATTCGCTAACAGCGCCACTGCAGCCGGCGCCCACGTTATTGGCGTCATCAAAAACATCATCAGCATCATCATTATCGTCGTCGTCATCATCATCCGCTGCAGCAGCAGCGGCGGCGGCGGCGGCGGCATCCGCATCAAGTTCAGCAACAACAACAACAACAAACACGACAAAGGGCGCGGGACTGGGCACGCTGAGCGCAGCAGCCAAACAGCGATTGCTGATCTCGTAGCAGCAGCTAGTTCAAATTTGTTTGTTATATGCGTAATTGTACTTTCGTTAGGGACTCAGCGGACTGCGACACTGTGGAGCTACAGTCAATGTTAGTAGTATTATTACTAGCCTAAACAAAACCCCCTTAGTCACTACATAAACTTTAATTTTAAGTAAGTCTTTAAAGTTAAGTGAGTCCAATGAGCTGCTAGCTCTCTGCTGCTGTGCGCCCTAGGCTAATAATACGCAGCATCCACAATGAGGCGAGAGTAAGGCATACGAGGTTCAGAACGAGATTTGCTCTCAGACCCACACCCACACACACACACACACTCGCACACACGCTCACTCTTAAACTGACAACAGCAAAAACAACAACAAGAAGAAGCTTTAATGGTAGCAACATGCAAACATTTTGTTGATTTCTAGAACCAAACTTAATAATAAGTTGACCATTTATCTTTAGGCATCTATGCTGTAGAGATCTATAAGATATATTTATACTAAGTTGCGCCGGTTTGTACATTTTTGTAGTTGATCGAAGATTGAGAGAGAGAGGGAGAGCAACAGAGAGAAAGAGGGAGCTCTTTAGATTAGATTTTGTTATTGCTATTTTGTAATTCGATATTTGTAATTATCTAATTAGCTATTTATTATTATGATTTGCCTAGCAAAACGATATACACACACATATATTTTTTTGTTCGATTTACTTTACTTTAACTCTTAACGATCTGTCCCTATTCTATTAATTTCTACCCGCTTCACGCTCTGTAAATATGCTTCGCTAAAAACGCCATCGAATAAATGTAATTTACATTAGAAATGAGTTTATTTACTTTCGTTTTTGATTTATTTGTCAATCGTTTGTCATTTGATTTAGAGCCCGCATTTCTTTTGTTAGATGATAAAGTGATTCTGATTCCGATGAGTCAGACAACTGGATTCAGTCTATAGTGTATTACGATCGTCTCAGTTTACACAAGCTCTGACAGCTCTGGGAAATAACTCTCAGCTGACTCATCATAATGCGTATTTCTTATCGCACATTAGACAATTGCGAACTGAAAGTGGGCGGGGCTACGCTGCCCAAATCAATTGACATGGGCTTAAAAATCGATCGGGAAGTACGTACACCTACACCAAGTTTTCTTTTGTTTGATATATTTTGCATAGGTAAGATCTAGAAGATCTAGATCTTGCCACAGTCAACATGTAATATTTGCATATATACAATATATATTCTATATTTGTATATTCTTGGCAGAGCGAGAGTATTTTGCTGTCATTGCAGCTGATAGGCGTATTGCTTATCTCGATCCTCAGTATTGATGGTACCACATAAACAAGTATTGCCTATATGAGAGCATGCATATAATAAAATCAAATAACAAGCGAGCAGACACAAGCTCGGCAACAGCAACAGCTACAGCTACAGCTAAAGCGATTCGAGAACATATTTATAAATTGAACGAATGAGCAGATTAGAGAGCCATATCAGTTGCAAAGCACACGGAATGGGGACTGGGACAGAGTTTGGGTATGGGAATGGGAAGGGCAGTGAGAATGAGAGATAAAGGCGAGCTATTGAAACAAGAGATTAATAGCTGAAACTATTTTAGTATGTGTGCAAATGCACATAGATTACATGCTTATAGGAGGTGAGTCTCTGCGGCATTGGATGGGTCTTTGTATTATTTTTTTTACTCTTTGCTTTTTATACCCTGAACCCATTGAAAATGGGAAATCAGGGTATAATGGTTTTGTTGAAATGTATGTAACAGGCAGAAGGAGGCGTGGCAGACCCCACAAAGTATATATATTCTTGATNTATATCTTCTACACCTTTATTGCTAGAGTCTCCAAATTTTTAATGTATGCTTATATGCAATTTATACAATTTCGGTTTTTGTTAAAATTTACCCCCCACCCTTAAATTCACCCCCTCACCCTCACTTTTGTAAAAAGCGTATTTCAAATACTAGAGACTTGTGCTTTGGCAATTACATGCATATCCATGTTATAATCATAATCTGAAAGTTTCATGAAGATCGTACGTCCATAAAAAAAGTTATTAAACAATTAAGTTCTCATAGTAAGCGCACACTGCAGCCCATGCGTGTTTATGCGTGGGTGCTTGTGTGTGTATGTGTTTGTGTATGTGTGTGTATGTGTTTGTGTATGTGTGTGTGTATGCGTTTGTGTATATATGCGTGTGTGTGTGTGTGTGTATGTGTGTCTGTATGCGTGTGTGTATATGTATGCCTGTGTGTGTGTGTGTGCGTGTTTCTTGTGTAAGCTGAAAGACGCGAAAAATTATTGAAATATCTATTGCTCCAAGGGTTCAGGGGATCTCGTAGTCGAGCAGTCTCGACTAGAGCTTTCTTACTTGTTTGTTTTATCAATGATCACGAGGCGCCACATAAAAATTGTTAGCTCTACCTTGGGCTACTGTATTTCATGAACCTGGGACAGTTAGATTTCTACTTTTTGTGATCATACATAAATATACTACACTTCTATATGTATATATAAATATGTATGTATGTAAATTAACTTATAAATTTATTGATATCTAAATGCTTTGATTTCTTATCAATAGAAACGTTGAAATTAAATTGGTCTGATATGAGAGCAGGTTGGGAAGAACTCCAAAGCAAAGTAAGCACACATAATTAAGTGCTAGCATATACTTACATACATACACACACATAAATATATATAATATATATGATGTATCAATAATCAAGCGCAATTACTTACCAAATAAGATCAATGATAAACTGAAGGTTTTTGTAAAACCAAATACTAATACAAACAATTTAGTTTAAAATAAAGTTAATTAAGAAGTTATGCAATAGATATACATACATATATAACTATATATATGCTTTAAATATTTTTATTTAATTTATGTAGTTTTTAAATAAAAAATAAAAAATGCGTTTTTGCCGTGTGTTCAAAGAATTCAAATTTGTTTATTATTATTATTTTTTTTTTTTACCTGCTTTGATTTGCTTAAAAAATAAAACTAAGCAAAAGTTAACAAAAGCATACAAAATAAGTATTTTCTAAAAATATTTGTAATCTAGACTTAACATTAGTGAATCAAATAAACAAACAATGAGAATTCAACAATATACCAAAAGTACATATATCTATATATATATATATACATATACATATATGTATATACATATATACTCATGCATTACGTAGTGCTATAGTAGCTTTTATTTTCATTCAAGACTGCGTGTATGTAGCAAATGTTTGCTTACATATACATATATATACACATACATATTTTTATTTTTTTGTATGATAAGACTCATTATTATCGTGAGTCATGTGTGTTGTTGAGTGGATCGTTCGATGTGACTTCTGGCTGGACATAAAGATATTTTGATTGAGCTTTTCGGGGGCTCCTCAATTAACATCTATCAAGTGTATTGAAATGATCGAGGTAATATCTAAGGGATTCAATGGACAACGGCATGTCTGAAAAACGCCTTCAAAATTCCCCTCATTAGATAGAAACAAAAGTCTATAATAATGAAAAATAATGAATATACATAAAAAAGTCTTCCGCCCTTAACGAACTCATTATGTACTGAAAATTGCGTGCACTGTTTCTTATCAATAAAACAAAAAGTAAATGGGCTTTATGCTATGATCAAACAAAATCGTTGGGACTTAGATAACAGTCTAAACTAGAAATACAACTACAAATTACTAAATATTTTATCAAACTATACATATGTTGGCATGACGATTACAACTTGTGCAAAGTTCAAGTCCGTTTTGCTCGTGCTACAAACAATGCCTTACAGATTCATATGTTTTATAAATAGAATTACTATCTCAAGTACTTATTCTAATCTAAAATAATAATAACAATAAATTAATCGCATTCAAATAAGAGGTTTTTTGTGATCGCCAAGAATAAAATAAATCAATCGATTACTTTCGGCTAGTTTTTAACATACAATTATACTGTAGTATTAATTTGGTTACTGAAGAGCTTAAAACCTGTTAATTTTTGAGCCTCTATTAAATTTTAGGTACACTCAAACGTAAAATATTTGAATACTTCCTACTTTCGTTTAATTTCTTGTTTACATTTTTCTCAGCTGTTTACCATTCGTCATTTTGTTTAAAAGCTTAACAGTTTGTGGCCGTAGTATTTGAATGTTAACAGTAACAGTTACAGAGGTTCGATTTTGCGAACCTGAACTAGTTGAGCGCAATCCAGGGATACGTTCATTTATTCAGCTCTCCAGCTTATGGAGTTATTTGTCTTGGTTCCGAACAATTCAATACAAGTACTAAAATTGCAATTAAATTGTCGCAAAAAAAGGTATTACTTGTCCACAAAGCTCCATTAACAGTTATTAACAAGTGTTGGCTACTCTACAAAGTAGCATTTCGTAGCAGTTTATTGCTGTGAAGCATATTTGAATTAACAATTGCCAAAAGCTCTTGCACTGTATTGGAATGTGAAAAATCTATACAATTTTATCAGCCAACGGCAAATACATGTAAATAGTGGACGTGATGATGTGTGTGTGTGTGCACCAGCTGGCGGCTATTGTAACGGGGGCGTATTGGAGAAAATTCTTTGCCAGTCGGTGTTTGCATTTGTTTATCGTATATTTAATGTTTGCCAATTGGCTGTTAACACGGCTCATCAGTTTTGGATAATTATTTTATGCATATTTGTCTTTATTAGTGTACACAAGAAATCTTACGATACCAATTTTGTGCTTCCGTCTGCGTGTATTTATGTGTGTGCATGTTTACTTGCAGATGCTTTGGCCGCTGTTTGAGCAGCGTTGAAGTGGCACAAACCAGTGAAATTTTAGTTTATCCCCAACGTTGATCGGCACTGGAACAACACGATGGCGATGTCCAAGGTGATACGCGTGCTGGAAAAGTCAATACCGCCCTCGCCCCATAGCGTTCTGCTGGAGCATCGCAACAAAACCGACTGCATCCTCTTCGAATCCCATGTCTGTGCGCTACTGACGCAGCAGGAAAATGTCATACGCAAGCAGTATACAAAGGTAGGTGTATCAAATGAAGGAATACTCCACACATTCATATATGTATGTACATGTGTATATATATATGTACATATATTCCAAATGCACATTTTGATAAGCTTTAACAACAAAGACACTC